GCAGACTTTTTCGTTTGACCTTATCTGTCGACTCATGACTGGCGAGTTTCATTTTGAAGAAGACAAGGACAAGCGACAGCAAGAAGAAGATTGCTCATATATCATACCCGCAGATGAGTCCGTTGCTGGACTTGAAGCAGCCATACAAGCCTGCATCATTGTTCCAAGCGATAGGGATGATCATTTTCGTTTCGTCCATGATCGTTATATCCAGGCGGCTGCGGCATTACAAGAGTGCAATGCTCGAAAAATGCACTTTGCCATCGCCCAAACACTTCTCAAATACCACGCCAACGATCGTTCTTACAGGGACAATGCGGCCTCCCACATTTGCGAGTGCGTCGATATCATCTGCCAGCAAGTGTCTCGTCGGCGTTCGTATCGAGCATTGCTCTCCCGGTGTGCACAAGAAGCATCCGTGAGTGGCGCAAGACCTACTGCAGCAAAATTCTACGGCAACGCTGTAGCGCTACTTCAACCTGACCCTTGGAACGACGATGCGGGCGATTCCTCTTATGAAGAGACTCTCCAACTCTATATCCAGGCAGCCGAATGCTACCTTTACATTGGCCTCCACGCCGCCGCCAACGATCTACTCCAGACAATTCTCGCCAAGGCAAGGACGGCTGTTGACAGGGCCCCGGCCTGGGTACTGCAGTCACGAATTTTTGCTCAGCGCGGAAACTCCGAACAGGCATTGGACTCACTCCGGTTGTGTTTGAAAGCTCTGGGTGTAGGCTTCGATGACAACCCATCCTTTGAGAAGTGCGACGCCCAATTCGAGCGCCTGTCCGTACGAATACAGACAATGGATCGCAGCGAGCTGGTCAACCCGCCCAAGACGGAAGATATCACTCTTGCATCCCTTGGTGCCGTGCTCACCGAGACCGTTAGTGCTGGATGGTGGAGCAACTGTCTGTACTTTTACCAACTTGCGCTCTCTATGATGGAGTTACACTTGGAGAAAGGTTCATTCCCACAGTCTGGCATGGCATTTTTATTCTTGGGCACCATCGCCCTCTCGAGGTTCAACATGGTTCAATTCACTGTTGACTTGGCCGGCATTTTCTTGGAGTTGCTGGAGAAGTACCGCGATCCATATTCGATGGCCAGGGGCTACATGATCTATGCCAACTTTGTCGGTCATGTACAGTTTCCGCTCGGCGCTATTGCCAACCAGCTTGAGGCATCGGTCGAGTTCGCCGCTGCTATGGGAGACCGCATCTCTGCCATTCTTAGCTTTGGTCTAGCTGCACAGCTGAAATTTTTTGCCAGCGAAAATATCTCCGATCTCGAGGCCTTCTGCCAGTATGGCTGTGAAGAGGTACCAAACTGGCATCTGGACACTCGTGGCGGCGTAATTCTTATTGCCATTCGACAGGTGTGCCGTGCCTTGCAAGGGAAAACGCAAGTGACAGATCCTTATGAGGTCATGAGCGACGAACAACACAAAGCCTCAACTTACAAGTCTTGGCTCACAGCCAAGGCCAGTGGAGAGAGGACGCTTATGTTCTACGAGTCAATCGAGATTATCCCGCTCTTCCTGTATGGGCACTATGAGCGGGCCATTGAGATCGGGGAGGTTTGTTGCAAGAACAGCAAGATGATCTGGTCGGCCAGAAACACAAAGCTCGCACAGTGGTTTTACGCTTTGTCCTTGGCGGCTGTGATCCTCCGCGAACAGCAAGACCCTCGACGCATGGCAGAAGATGAGGAGAAGTTTCAGAGCCGCGTGGAGGAGACGATTGAGAAGATTGATGAACTGAACAAGGGGCTGAAGGACTGGCAGGCAGTTAATAATGTTAACTACCTGGCTTGGTCAAAGTTACTGGATGCCCAAATAGCAGAGATCCGTGGTCAATATGGGGATGCCATTCAGCAATATGAAGAGGCGTTGGATCATGCTGCAGAATACAATTTCCTCTTTGAGGAGGCCTTGGGAAATTACCTGATGGCTAGCGTCTTCATTCGTCACAAGGGCAGGCGCTCTGCCCGGTCTACCCTTCGCGACTCTATCGCTCTCTACCGCCAGCTTGGTGCCACAGGAATCGCCGACCTCATCGAGACCGGTCATAGTATCTTGCTCCATGGCCCTATGCGCAACCCTCGCACGGCTGATGCTGGCGTTCAGACCGACTTTACTGGCGACGCTGCGTCTGTTCAATATCGGACCGTGGAAGAAGAAGGATTGGAGGACGGAGAGGAGACGGCGCAGGCTGCGGTGGCAGCGCTGAAAGGGGAACGCATGACAGCGTGGAGGGGCTCAATGCAGCCGGAGGCTGGGGTTGGCTTGCCAGCACTTGATATGATCGATCTGCACGCGATTTTGGTCTCATCTCAGGTCATCTCCTCGGTGTTGAGGGTTGATGAGCTTCTCAAGACCATGTGCGACGTGATCTTGCAGACGTGCAGCGGGTCCGCTACCCTGGCAGCTCTCGTGGTGTATGAGGATGAGAAGCAGAAGGACAATTCGCCTCTGTGTGTTGCTGCGAGTGGTGACCCCGATAAAGGAGCCGAGGCGCACATTCCCGGCATTCCCCTCAGCGGAACCGACCTCGTTGCCGAGAATGTCATCCTGTACTGCTCCCGCTTCCGTGAGGTGGTTTTTCTTCGGGACCTTGTGAGCGATGAGCGGTTCGGCAACGTTAGTGAAAGTTGGCTTCGGAGGAACCCCAACAGCAAAGCGGTCATTGCCATCCCGATCTTGCATGGTTCTGAAAACCCGCTCCTTGGCGTCTTGTACCTCGAAGGTGTTCCCGGTTCATTCACAGACCGAAACGTCACTGTTCTGCAGCTTCTCGTCAACCAGATCGGAATCAGTTACTCGAACGCTCTGGCCATGAAAGCTGTTGAAAAGGTCTCGGCCGAGAACGTCTCCATGGTGGCGCTCCAGAAGCGTGCTTTGGCTAAAGCGGTTGAAGCAGAAACCAAAGCCAGAAATGCCGAAGCTGAAGCCATCCGGAACGTGAAGCTTGCGGAAGAAGCCGCGAAGGCGAAGTCAATCTTCCTCGCTAATGTCTCTCACGAGCTGCGCACGCCCCTCAATGGAGTGATTGGAAACTCGGAGCTGCTCAGGGATAGCAACTTGAATAAGGAGCAATTGGAAATGGCTGACTCAATACGCGTGTCGGCAGATCTGCTACTTACAGTCATCAACGACATCCTAGACTTTTCAAGGATGGAGGCAGACAAGATGAAGCTCTACATCATCGCATTCAACCCGGAGGAGATGGTTCGCGAAGTCGTCCGCGCAGCATCGTACAGCAACAAGGAAAAGACATCCAAGAAGAACGTCAAGATCGTTCACGACATCAATCTTCCTCCCATGTTGATTTACGGCGATCCCATTCGTCTTCACCAGGTCCTCGGCAATCTCATTGGCAACAGCCTGAAGTTCACAGAGCATGGCTCCATCACCATTGGGGCCAAGGTGGACTCCGAAACCACAGAGAAGGCGACGTTGACATTTTGGGTCAAGGATACCGGCATCGGCATTTCGCCACAGCAACTGGACAAGCTCTTCCTTCCCTTTAGCCAAGCCGACGAGAGCACAGCGCGGAAGTATGGCGGCAGTGGTCTCGGTCTTAGTATCTGCAAGTCACTGATCGAATCGACCATGAAGGGCAAGATCCGCCTGGACAGTGAGGAGAACGTGGGGACAACCGTCTGGTTCACTGTCACGTTTGATAAGGCCAAGCCGGAGGTGATGGCAGGTGATACCCAGAGCACATCGCCCGTTCAGATGGAGCCTCCACGGGACCGCCAACCGCGGCCACTTCCGGGCGCTGTGGAAAACGGCGATGTCAGCAGTGATCAGGTGCCGAGGCCCTACATCGACCTTACCCATATCCCACGCAACCAGCTTCGAATATGCATTGCCGAAGACAATTCCATCAATGCTAAGATTGCCATGCAGTATATGCACAAGCTGGGTTATCCGAATGTTGATACCTATGACAACGGCCTGAAAGCAGTTGAGGGTCTGCGAGAGAAGGCGCGGCAGGGAAACCCGTATCACATCATACTAATGGACGTACAAATGCCAGTGCTGGATGGTTATGAGGCGACGAAGATGTTGCGAAACGATCCGATAGATTCTGTCCGCAATGTTCTCGTGATAGCCATGACAGCCTCGGCCATTCAGGGCGATCGAGAGAAGTGTCTCGCTGCGGGTATGAACGATTATCTTGCCAAGCCGGTTCGAGGGGAGCTGCTGAAGAGAAAGCTGGATACTTATCTGGGAGCGAGCGCGAGCATGAGTTTCAGCACTCAGGTTGGTCAGCCCAAAGTCACCACTAACACCACTGCCACCACTGCCACCACTGCCACAACCTCTACCATCTCTTCGACCCCTATCACAACCCCAACAACTCCCATGACTCCCATAACCCCAGATCAATGAAACCTACTATCTCTTTACAATCGAGAATTGTGGCATTCGAGTGCTTAGAATCTGACGCCTCAGCTTGTAAACAGCGTTTTCTCGAACGGCGCTTCGCCCAAAGACCTGGAAGCCCCCAACCCATCAACCCCGGCAGCAGCAGTACCAAAAAAGACGTTGACACTCCACTTTCCTCGCCCGTGCCACCTCCTTTGGCTGATAACACCGCTGTTTCTGCTTCCACTGTCAAAATCGGAGTGGGATCCGCTGCGGCTTCTCTTCGAGAGGTGGCGGCCAGCAACGTGAGCGGCGGTGAATCGAGACCGTCTTCACCCAAACTCCTCTCTCCTAGCGGCAAGAACAGCAAACAACGCCACAGAAGAGGCAGATCATACGATATCCGCCTCCTTCGCCCCTCGGAGTCCGCAACAAGCTTCAGTAACGTCACAAATACCAGCGGCGGAAGCAGCAGCAACAGCAACAGCAACAGCAACAGCAGCAGCAAGAAGCTGGACAGGCGTTTGTCCTCTCCATCTTTGTCGTCCAGCGAGCGGCGAGGATCGGTGCCGGACCTCGCAGCTGGTGGCGGTGGTGACAAGCGGCAGCCTAAGAAGCTGGTGGAGGCTCGGGAGTGATTTCGTTTTCCCCTTTTTTCTTTACTTTGTCTCATGCATTTGGTTGGTGGCGAAAACATTAGTTACGGTACTAGGATGTCGGACTTGAAACTTGCAGGTTTTGCCAATTACAAGTTGAGGGTCCTACGCGCGGGTGGGAGATGGCAGGGAAGGTGGAAGTGGAATCAGCATGCATTTTGGCTGCCATAGAGAGTTTGTCCAGGAGGGTTCAGGTGGTCCACTATCCAAGGACAAAAACCATATACCATATAGAGAAAGATGTTCAAAGGTAGAGCGGCAGAGAGAAATTAGGGAGGCGGGGAAGGTGGACATTGTTAAGAGGACATGTATAGGAAGCGAATGGCGGAATGCGAGACGGATGGAGGTGTATGTATGGGTTTTACATACCGGTTACCGCCGTTCTTACATGTGTTCGGTGTGGTATGTGATGTGCTTTTTTGTTCTCCATACTTTTGGAAGGACAAGGGAATAGGGAACGCGGGTTCACATGAGCGGCGCAGCGAAAAGCATATGGAACTAGTTAGTGCATGGAATGGGTCTTTTTCTCAAATTTTGTGGGCGCACCGTCGAAATATAAAGGTTGGGGGTTATCTGATTATGTTGTGGCTGGTGCTTCCCTCACGTACTTTCATTCTTCTTTTGATCCCTTTTCGAGTTTTGTCATGATGCCCCCATCTGTATATCTATAGCTCGAAATGTACAAGGTGATAGATGCAATAACAGCTCCCATGTCCATGTCTCGGTCAGGACACAGGTCTGAAATTTAGCATCTTGCCCAGTAGTGAACCCTTGACCTTTGACCAAAGATGGCACATAAAAAGACACAACTCAGAGGTGGTATATCATCATTACAGCAATCACGCTCGCTTATCTTGCTTATAGTTCCATCCCACTCCCCTCCTCCACTAACCCTAGAAAGCAAGTGTATCAAAGATCATGACGACGACACCGAAGCCGCGCCAGAAGCGGCCGCACCAGCACCAGCAGCAGCGCCGCCCGCTCCCGTCGGCTCCACCGGTTTCGTATACGTTACCTTCTCAACCGCCACGTTTTCCACCCCCTTCTCATCCTTCCTCAACTGATAGACATAAAGCGTCAACGAAATACCCTGGACATCCATCAGACAAAAGCTCGGCACCACCTCCTCATCTTCATCGAACCCCTTATCCTGCTCTTTTTGTCCTTCTCCATTGCTGCCGAGGTTAACAGCCCACGAAGCAGCAGTAGTCGTAAACGCCCCCGTCGCCGACCCGGGGTTCACGAAAAACTTGTCCATGTACTCGAAGCACTCGAACTTGTGCGTGCCGCCCCAGCAGAGCACATCCACGTCCAGACGGTTGGCTTCGGCTAGGAGGAGGTCCGGTTCGTTGGATACCAAGGTGAAACCTTCGAGGAAGCCGATGCGAAGGTTGCCATGCGTGACAACGCTGGTGAGGGGAAGGGAGGTTGCTTCGACGTCCATGCGGCCGCGAACGATTTTCAGGTCGGGGGCGATGGTGCGCAGGTATTCGTAAGTTGACCGGTCAGTTAGGTTGCCGAGGCAGAGGGTTTGGGAGATCTTGCCGGGGGCGAGGAGTTTCTTGAACTATTTTGGGGCGAGAGGTGTTAGAGAGGTTGAAGGGAGAGAGAGGAGGGGGAGAGGATGTGGAGAAAGCGCACTTTGGCGGGAATGTCCAGGGCCCGGTCTGGGATGTGGAGGTCACCGATCACGAGAATTAGGAAGGCCATTTTGGCGGTTTGTTCGGACGCGCTTGAGGATTTCTAGAAGGTGGCTGAGAAAGTTGGTGTATGTAAGAAGGAGGCGCCGTGAAGATGCCGACGTGTGCTGGAAGCCGTCGAGGTTCCAGTACAAGGAACTGGCGTTGTCGGTCAGGCAACTTGTGGACTGATTCGTATTATGGTATTATTCGGTGTTGTCCATTTGGCGACAAAAAAAAAAACCAACCAATTGGCCGGGAGATGGATAATGGACAATAATGATGATGCGTCTGGTCGTCGATGTTATTGTCGACGTCTCGAGCTCGGAGCTTGCGTCGGTGGGCTGCAGTGCGATTTGGTGACAAGAAGTGACAGACGGGAACCAAAGTGACGGAGGGGAGCTGGTGGGTGGAGACTCGCGCGGACCTTGTCGGGCAAGCTGATAGAGTGGGGGAGGAGGCTTAAGTTGACACAACCTAACGCCCCTATGTACACATCACCCCTGGTTTGTTCGTTAGCTTGGTACCTACTTACAGGGGTTTTGAACAGGGGGAATGACAAAGAGTAAATGCATTATAATTATACCGATTATAGGAGGTAATAAAGTGAAAATAGTGAATGATTGGTGATTCTAGTGGTTTTTGGCTAGAATAAGAGGTTTGTGTGCGTGTGTGTGAATCCCTTCTATCAACTCGTTCTAACATTGAAATCTAGCGATTTCGGCCAATCAAATCGCACGATTAGACCTTTCTGACCGTGTCACCCCCCTGTGGAAGGATGTGGGGCGTGTCCCGCGCTAACAAACAAACCAGCATTGATGTGTACACTACCTCTATGTACCTTATCCCCGCATTTTGAGCCTCGCGCCCCCAACCTCACCTGAGGGTAGAATCCGACCCCCCGGCCCTTCCGCGACGCTGACTGTTCTACAACATCTTGTGACATTCTCGTCCGACTTGGTGTGCAGGGTCCCCGGGCCTGTCAGCAGTTCCGACCCCGGCGGAGTCAAGAGCGTCGAGGCACAAGTACCGAATCGGTTGACGGCACCCGCCGCGCCGCCGCCAGCATGGCCAGCGCACCCATTCAGGGGACGCCAGAATTGCCCCCCGAAATGCCATTCTCATCTGGAACGCGGACTTGGCTCGGAATCTCATGTCTGTAGTCGCTATAAAAGTACTTTAGTCTATTTAGCTGGCGGTAGATTCATAATTCCGCTTCGGCACACGTTTTGTGGTCCATTCCTTCCTTCAATTTTTTTTTTTTTTTTCCCCCCTTGATTGCGTTCAGAAGTTGTGTCTTTGACTCTGACCGACTTCCTCTTGGGCTTGACTTGTAACTGAAGACTGAGCTCGGTAACAGCCACTACAAGTCTACGACCTACTTAGCATCAACACTTGGAACAGCCGCATTAGGTACCTAAGTAGTTTGGGGAACCAGGTGGAGGAGTCCTGCATAACGCTCCCAGCGCCTTCCAAACTGGCACACTCAACGTCTCTTGTACGCTCGGCGCTTCGGCGGTCATCGGTACTCACGGGAATAACATCATCGATGCCCCGCTCCAGCGGCCCGGTCGACTCCCCCGCTCGGCTGTCCCTGATCTCCCGTCACCTCGCCCCCGATTACCCACTCAACACTCCTTATACCGTCGAGAGACATCCGGACAACATCGACACCTCTCTCTTGCCCAAGACACAAACCCGCGCCCTCACCACCGACACCACTCCAGCCAACATGTCTACCCAGCCTGAGCACCCGACCCTCCTTATTCCCGGCCCCATCGAGTTCGACGATGCTGTCCTCAACTCCATGAGCCACTACAGGTGAGATCCGAACGGCGCAAACCAACCAACCACCTGGAATTGGCTGACCATATTTGCAACAGCGAGAGCCATGTCGGGCCTGGCTTTGTTGCTGTCTTCGGCGAGACCCTGTCGATGCTGCGCAAGCTGTTCCAGACCACGGACCCCTCCGCTCAGCCTTTCGTCCTGTCCGGCTCCGGTACCCTAGGTTGGGATCTCGTTGCCGCCAACCTGATCGAGCCTGGTGAGGATGCGCTCGTGCTTAGCACCGGTTACTTTGGCGATGGCTTCGCCGACTGCTTGAAGGTCTACGGCGCCAACGTCACCCAGATCTCTGCCGAGCCCGGCAGCCGCCCTCAGCTCCCTGAGATTGAGAAGGCTCTTTCGGAGAAGAAGTACAAGCTCCTCACCGTCACTCACGTCGATACCTCTACTGGTGTCCTCAGCGAGCTCAAGAACCTTTCCGAGCTTGTCCACAGGGTTTCCCCCGACACCCTCGTCATTGTCGATGGTGTCTGCTCCGTCGCCTGTGAGGAGATTGACTTTGATGCCTGGAAGCTCGACGGTGTTGTCACTGCCTCCCAGAAAGCCATCGGCTGCCCTGCCGGTCTCTCTATCTCCATGTTCAGCGGTCGCGCCATCCAGGCCTTCCAGAACCGCCAGACCCCACCTACCTCTTACTTTGCTTCAATGAAGAACTGGCTTCCCAGTGAGTACCACTTCACGTTACAATCTACCCTTTTGATACCACTTGCTAATGTATGATGCGTGCGAACTACAGTCATGCAGAACTACGAGGCCAAGAAGCCCTCTTACTTCGCCACTCCTTCTCCCCAGCTCGTTCGCGCCCTCCATACCGCCCTTACCCAGATCGTCGCCCAGGGTGTCAAGGAAAGGTTCGCGGCCCACAAGGCGGCTTCGGACAAGATCAAGGCGGCCGTTGCTGCTCTCGGCCTCAAGCAGGTCGCCGCCAACCCTGATGACCAGGCCCACGGCATGACCGCCATCTACCTTCCCGAGACCGTCAAGGGCGCTGAGCTCCTCCCCAAGCTCGCTTCGAGGGGCGTTGTGTTCGCCGGTGGCATCCACAAGGCCATCGCGGCCAAGTACATCCGTTTTGGCCACATGGGCGTCAGTGTGTTGGATCCTAGCAGAGGCCATGTCGAGAAGGCCATCAAGGCTCTTGAGGAGGGTCTGTCCGAGTGCGGTTATCAAAAGGCTTAGAAGTGGGGTGTAGTGTAGGAACGTGGTGTATATAAAAAGCCGGAGTCATTTTGGAGTCACGATATACCATGCTGGATTTTGTTGATTGAAGAAGAGGTCCCTGATGGATCTGCAAGCGGATTTGAATATATGAAACTGTGAAAACTGCCTAACAAAGTTGCAGAGTGCAGTGACGTGCTGGGGGTGCAAGAGGGCCGTGTAGAAGAAAGGAACACCCCCTTCCCCACATGTTGCGAATGGAGTCTCGTCCCTCAATGGTAACCCTTGCATGAGTGGTTGCATTATGTACTACTGGTCACTATCCGCTGCAATGCGGTTGATATGCTGCCACTACCTCTACTGGGACATGCCAGCGATCCGGGGGTGTCCTTGATAAGGAGTCTAACAGTGAAAGGGACATAGTGTACGTTGGAGAAGGGAAGGGAAGTAAGTGCCGAGGCTCGACGAGCAAACCTCAACTGAACAGCCGGTACGCCTGGAGCTTTTCGTCCTCGTCTTGGACAATCCAGGGTAGCAAAAGCGGGGCAATCCTGACGCCTGGGCATCTCCACTGGGGAAACATTGATACGGAGCTATCAAGTGATGTACATAGCAGCTGTACCGGATAGATGGGCCGCAGTGAAGATGCGGATATATCTCAGGATAGCTATATCCGGTCGGCCTATGTAGTGTAGAATTTCAAGAGCTGTGTTTGAATTGTCCAGACTTGGGTAGCAGAAGGTCCGTTAATGCTGACATATGTATGTTGGTATATATGGAACGGTGGTGAAATCCATAGTATTACCTAGGTCTGTTCGTTAGGACAAGAGCGGACTTTGTGAGCTTCTGAAGTATCTACAAGCAGTGTGTTATCCCAAGTTAAATACCTAGCAACCAAGCATAAATTACCAGATATACATTCATTTGATGCCCTTTGGGAAGAAACAATCATGCTGAAATCATCGACAAGAACTGTTCTCGGAAAGCCCACGATGGGTCTCGGTTGGATGGCTTTGGGCTGCTGTCAAGACTACAAGCAGATAAATACCGTTTTGGGTTGCGCGGACGGCATCTGGAACCCGACGTGATCCCAGTGGTGAGATGTGAAAAGAACGCGGGACTGGAAAGGGAAGCCGTCCCAGAGGCGCGGAATCCCGTGGTCCAGTCGAATGGTCCAGCGAGCGCGCGCGGAGGGCGTCACCTCAACATCCGTCAACCTCCGCAACGAACAAGGGCGTCCTGGTGGACGTGCATGCCAAATCGGAACGGGAGGCTGGTGGGGTCCATCACGGTTCGGCCTTTCTGGGCTTTCGACCCGATTCTCAATGCAATGCTCCAGTCCAGCTCCAGCTCCATAACCTCCGTCATCCCACTGCAAATTGAAGTGCACATCCCACTGCACCGCCGCGCGCAGGCCCCTTCACGCCTCTTGCACTTCTGCAGCCTCGAGGTTCGCTTCATTTTTTTGCCAAACTGAACCTTTTGACTTGCACTGATCAACGGCACGCAACACTCGCAAAAACGCCAACACAACAACCCGACTCGACCCGTTCGTTGTTTCCTTTCTCTCGCTCCAGGCTCGCGACTACGACGATTGTGCCCCACGTCTCCTCCCCGTCTGGATTATTCATTCCATCTCCCGGCCCCAGCAACCCGCCGGCCGTCAAACCAGCTGCGCTTCGCTTCGTTTCGTTTGGCACGCACCGTGACCCGGACAACCAAACAGACCTGGACCTAGCAGGCCATCACACACCACGTCTGGAACCAAACACCCCTCACCCTCGCAATCCCTCCATCTACCTTAGTCCTTTTCTCCCCGCCAGACCAGCAACGAGCTGTCGATCTCCTCCCATTCGTCTCGCCGAACTTTGGTAGCAGCAAACCCATCTTGCTCGACACTATCCACTGTTCAGCTACCCGCTGTACCTACCTTGCTACCAACCCCTCTGCATCCCAACCCAGTAGAGGAACGCGACCATGCCCCTCTCCATCGAGGAACTGGACAACCAAGTCCGCACCTTCTATGAAGGTCGCGGCGAGACGGTAAATAACGACGCCGGATTCTGGTTCGCCCTGTGTAGATGCTGACGTTCTGTTTTCTGCTTGAACAGCAAGCTCAGGCCCAAACCGTCCTGAACCAGGTATGTCTGCCAATAGCCAAACTCGACCCTCCTTTGTCCTGACAACCAGGGCTAACATAGCATCCTTCAAACAGTTCAAGGAAGATCCCGATGCCTGGTTGATGGTCGACGAGATCCTCCAGAAGGCCACGTACGAGCAGACAAAGTGTCCGTCAATCCCGCCCACGTACCAAACAGTTCATATCCAGAATGTCATATACTGACAGGGTTTGTAGACTTGGGGTTACAGGTCCTCGACAATGTGATTATGACGAGGTGGAAGGTGCTCCCCCGCGAGCAGTGTCATGGTACGTGAAAACATTGGCTTATTGAAAGCTTGATGCTCCCCCAGTAGCTAACTTTTCTCTCTCTCTCTCTCTCTCAGGTATCCGCAACTTTGTCGTTCAGTATATCCTCCAATGTTCGAGTTCCGAAGAGCTTCTCAAGGCCCACCGTGTCCTGCTCAACAAGCTTAACCTTGTTCTCGTCTCCGTCCTCAAGCAAGAGTGGCCTCATAACTGGCCTACCTTCATCAACGAGATTATCTCTGCCTCTCGCTCGAGCCTTTCGATCTGCGAGAACAACATGATCATTCTGCGACTCCTCTCCGAAGAGGTCTTCGACTATTCCGCGGAGCAGATGACGTCGACAAAGACACGGAACCTCAAGACCACCATGTGCGCCGAGTTCTCGCAGATTTTCCAGCTTTGCCAGGAAGTTCTCAACTCTGCCAACCAGCCTAGCCTTATCAAGGCCACCCTCGAAACCCTGTTGCGCTTCTGCAACTGGATCCCTCTCGGTTATATCTTCGAGACCCCTCTTATTGAAACCCTTAGGACGCGTTTCTTGGAGGTTCCCGAGTTCCGAAACATTACCCTCCAGTGTTTGACCGAGATTGGTGGTTTGCAAATAGGAGGTCCTACGGGCCAACAGCCCAACTATGGCGAGGCCCTCATCAAGATGTTCACCGAGGTCCTGACGACCATTTCCAACATCATTCCTCTCAGCATGGACTTGAAGGCGACCTACCCGGCCAGCAACTCTCGCGACCAGGAATTCATCCAGAACTTGGCGCTGTTCCTTTGCAATTTCTTTGGCATGCACCTGCCCGTAAGTAGCTGAGATTTGTGACCTCATGATCGTAGTACTAATATGGTATCTAGCTCATCGAAAACCTGCCGAACCGTGACTTTCTTACACATGGTCACTATTACCTAATCAGAATTTCGCAGATTGAAGACCGCGAAATCTTCAAGATCTGCCTCGACTACTGGCTCAAGCTCGTCCAGGAGCTCTATGAGGAGATGCAGGCCTTGCCCCTTTCCGATATGAACCCTCTTCTTAGCGGTGGTCTGCAGACCAGCGGCGCCCCGAACCCCGCTCTGCTCAACAACTACCCTCTCCGCAAGCACAAGTACAACGAGATTCTTTCCAACCTGCGTGTTGTCATGATTGAGAAGATGGTGCGCCCCGAAGAAGTCCTCATTGTTGAGAACGACGAGGGCGAGATTGTCCGCGAGTTTGTCAAGGAAACCGACACTGTTCAGCTTTACAAGACCATCCGCGAGTGTCTCGTTTATCTCACCCATTTGGATGTGGTCGACACCGAGCAGATTATGACCGACAAGCTCGCACGCCAAGTCGATGGATCCGAATGGTCATGGCACAACTGCAACGTCCTCTGCTGGGCGATTGGTTCTATTTCTCTCGCCATGAACGAAGAGACGGAGAAGAGGTTCCTTGTTACTGTTATCAAGGATCTTCTTGGACTGACCGAAATGAAGCGGGGCAAAGATAACAAGGCCGTCGTCGCCAGTAACATCATGTACATTGTCGGACAGTATCCCCGTTTCCTCAAGGCGCATTGGAAGTTCCTCAAGACGGTCGTCAACAAGCTGTTCGAATTCATGCACGAGTCTCACGAGGGTGTCCAGGACATGGCCTGCGATACTTTTATCAAGATTGCCAAGTCTTGCAGACGCCACTTTGTTGCGCTCCAGCCTAGCGAGTCTCAGCCTTTCATTGAGGAGATCATCAGGGACCTTGGCAAGATCACTTGCGACTTGACTCCTCAACAGGTTCATACTTTCTATGAGGCTTGCGGCTACATGGTAGCTGCTCAAGGCAACAGGCACCAGCAGGAAAGGCTGCTTTCTGAGCTCATGCAGATTCCCAACATGGCGTGGCAGGAGATTATCAGGCAAGCTAGCCTTAACCCTAACATCCTCCAGGATGCGGACACCATCAAGGTTATTGGCAACATCATGAAGACCAACGTCTCGGCATGCTCATCTATTGGTACCTATTTCTTTCCTCAGATCGGCAACCTCTATAGCGACATGCTTCAGATGTATGCCGCCACCAGTCAGCTGATTTCTGAGGCTGTTGCTCGCGAGGGTGAGATTGCTACAAAGATGCCCAAGGTCCGCGGGCTCCGAACCATCAAGAAGGAAATTCTCAAGCTTATTGAGACCTATGTCGACAAGGCTGAGGACCTCCAGGCCGTGCGGGAGCAGATGGTGCCTCCTCTCTTGGATTCGGTGCTTGTTGACTACAACCGCAACGTTCCTGGTGCTCGTGATGCTGAGGTCTTGAGGGCTATGACCGCTATGATCACTAAGCTCTCGGCTTTGATGGAGGACCAGGTACCGATCATCATGGAGAATGTCTTCGAATGCACGCTGGACATGATCAACAAGAACTTCTCCGAATACCCCGAACACCGTGTCGAGTTCTTCAACCTCCTCCGCGCTATCAACCTTCATTGCTTCCCTGCGCTTTTGAAGCTTGATAACCGTCAGTTCAAGTTTGTTATTGATTCGTGCATGTGGGCTAGCAAGCACGACAACCGCGATGTTGAGACTGCGGGCCTTAACATGTGCCTGGAGCTCGTCAACAACATCGCTGAGAAGACTGACGTTCAGACCTCCAACGCTTTCTTCAACCAATTCTTTGTCAGCATCCTGCAGGATGTGTTCTTCGTTCTAACTGACCAGGACCACAAAGCTGGATTCAAGACCCAGTCCATGCTGCTCATGCGCATGTTCTACTTTGTCCACCCCGCCGATGGCTCGCCCTCAAGGATTCAGGGCCCCATTTACCAGCCCGATCAGGCCCAGCCAGGTACTAGCAACAAGGAGTTCCTCACCATGTTCGTGGGTAATTTACTGCAGACCGCTTTTGCCAACCTTACGCCGTAAGTTTTCTTCCCCAACTTTGGACCTTGTAATGTACCGAGCTAACCAAAAGTGCAAAACAGTGCCCAGATTACCTCGTTTGTTGAGGGACTCTTCACCCTTAACACCCAGTACGACAAGTTCCGCCTCGCGTTGCGTGACTTCCTTATCTCCCTTAGGGAATTCGCCGGCGACAATGCCGAGCTCTACCTCCTGGAGAAGGAGCAGCAGGAGACGGCGGCCAAGGCGGCCGATATCGAGAGGAGATCCAAGGTTAGCGGCCTGCTGAAACCCAGCGAGCTCGAGGACGATGAGCTGTGACTAGTTGGAGAGGAGCTTAGGAATGAGTTTGCGCCGACTTACGAGTCGCGCCGAAATGACGTACCACCAGAGAAGCCACACATGAATGGGCTGGCTGGTGCTGGTGATATGGCGAAAGGAAAAAGAAGCGGCGGCGGCAAGGATCACGACCAATTCGGTGGCGATGGATGGGAGTTCTATGGTCTGTGAAATGAAATATGGCGGCGTTCTTTATTCTTTTTGTGTTTATGTAAGTCACCAAATCAGTCGTATTTCTTGTATGAACCCCAACCCGGCATTTTATCAAGAGCCGACCCGCTAGAATCAGCCAAATACTATTGAATGAGTAGCATGCTACCAGCCTCTTGTATCTGTTCCTCTCACTTTTTGTGTTGTTAATCATAAGAAGATTGGGTCGGTGGCAGTACGCTTGTCTGGTTCACATCCGGGGTATCAAGGGTGATAATTGTGAAGAGTAGTCAACAACACAAGAATAAGGAAAAGGTGTTGCTGACCGACTTGGTTGTTCCGGCAAAGTAGCCAGTCGGTGCGTGGTGCCCTCATTGCTCGCCTTCCTGCGCACATCCTTTGCGGTGGTCTGGTGCTTGGACACTACAATGTATGCCGACTACTTACTTATAACAAGTTTAGGCACTTGTCCAATATTCGATCGTTCTCTTGACACACTGCAGTTCGTTCGCCAGAACAGCAGGTGTCTATTCCTCTTCACACTCCAGAACTGGTCTAATCTGTAGCTAGCAATCACCTTTTACTTCGAATTGTGATTTCACTCACATGTTGAGACATGGCATTGACTTTTGTGCCTACCTGGTGAATTGACTGGACCGGGTTTCTATCCACTTTGCATCTTTTCTCTTTTTCACCCTCCTCTCCTTCCTCTTCCTAATTTACACAAGGCGTTTCGCGTCCCGTCTCTCGAGGTTCACGTCTCCTAATCGGACTGGATCAGACCGACACTCCCTATCCCGCGTTTGGAGTTACCTCAAATATTCCACCCGGTTATGTCTTCCTTGCGTCACTTGAGGCTTTATTTGGCGTTATCAGTATTTAGAATTCCCCTTTGGGTTGCTTCTGTGAGCTTATTTCCTTGCTCCCTTGTAATTTGATATATGTGGGTCTGTGTCTAGTATTTGTTGTGCGTGAGTTCAGTTCTTTATTTTTTACACATACACACACACACACACACATATATATATATATATAAAGATCACTGTGGGTTATGAACCTCCATACACTTGCCTTTCCACTCTCTGTTTCAGTTTCACCTTCTTTTATTCCCCTTCACTTTTTCTTGTCTGTTGTCATAGCCCTGGCTTGGCTTTCTCGTGCCCGTCTATGTGAGATTCGCCGTTCCTTTCCTTTCTCTCTCTCTCTCTCTTTCTTTTTTTCCGTTCTTCTTTTGCTGCTATTGCGAGTTTACTCCTGCCACTCTACTTGTGTCTCAAAAAAAAAAAAAAAAATGGATATCCTGAGGCAGAACTGTGTGCTCCTCTGATATCGGGTGTCAAACATGTTCTACTCTTTTCTGAACACGGAATGTAGTGACGAGGGAATCAACTATCGAGGAAAATAGACACTTGTATTTGAGTTATTACGTCGTTTTCTCTCTACGCAAAATGTTGCGATTGGTGGATGCCAGCTCATACTCATAAATGTGCTTTTTAGACTCACGTGTGGTGGAACCGAGTCGATCTTCACATGTCGTTGGAATGTCGGCGTGGCAGGTGTACGACAAACTGAAAGACAAACTGTCACTCGATACCTCACAAGGCATGATCACTTCATAGATACATAGAGTCAATGGGATGATGGTTCAGAAACACGTTTTAGCATCATCCGTTCACCATGAATGCCACAAACTGACTAGAATCATGCTCGATGAACGGCGAATAGGTGGACTCGGAGTAAGTGGAATGAACACTCGTTACTTAAAGCCCCTGGCCGTATCTGTTCACTATTCCATACTACCCTTGTTCCTGTGCTGGATCTCAGGTAGATAATAAAATCACCTACCAAGGCATCTTACCTACAGACCTCCTAGAACAAGCCAAGGCTAACGTCAACGGAAAAGATTGCTTACCTAAATCCCTACAAGAGCTGGTCCGGTCCGATGTAACTCCGTAACCTACACCAACCTGGCAAGTCTGGGGTATAACAAGCTGTCCTAATAAGCTTGTAATGCAAAACCCGGGGGAAATTGGTAAACGGGATGGGTTGCGGCGGTGATTGCCCGCATATCATGCAGTAGCGAGCACACAATCTATCTGTTAAGTGTGGTAAGGTTACACTAGTGACTCAAGGGAAACAGACCCGGCGTCTTGCGCCCTCCTGTGCCTCGTAGATCCATACCATATTCCATCCACCCATCCATTCATTCTACCGCTTGCTCTTTCCCCATAGCATAGAGGGTCCCAGGGCATACAGAGGTCGAGACCGGATCCAGTTCTGTGGCGTTGGGTATATGTCTGTTGGTGTTAGCCAAGTTCAAAACGGCCGCGTAACCTTTTGAGCGACTCCTCTCCAAACAAGGGGGCTATTAGCCGGTTGGTTTTCTTTTTTGTCGTTCGATAACGGGATGCAGATGCTTCCCGCGTTCCTGTCTACCGCAAGCAAACCTCATCAAAGTGCGATGTCGGTGAGGAGATGGCTAATATACAATGAGTAATTTGTGCGTCTTCCTGCAAAACAGCCTCGGTGGCTTGACCTTCTGCGTGCCTCCAGCAAGCAACCGTGCTGATTGCTACCACGACAACCACAACACGAGATGTTTTCCAATCTCGGTATGTAGCATACATTGTACTTACTGTCTTCGAGAGCCCACGACCGCATCCCTCTCCCGCTTAGCCTGTGCCCAAGCCGGCGGTAATCGTCCACTCCCTTGTTTCAGTGGGTTCAAGTCGTACCACAAACAATCCCGCACACATCACCGGACGTCCGATCGGTCTTGTCTCTTCTTCTTGCTTGGCAGATCTAATGACACTCTGCGAAGAAAAGAAGAAAGAAAAAGCGAAAGTGTGGGCTCAGAAGTGGACAAGCGTGAGTATGCCATCTGCGAGCATTGTGGCGAATCGAACGGCTTTCCAGAGCCAAGTTATATCATGGTGAACACAGTATTCACTGAATCCACTCTTTGACCTCGAACAATGTTTAAGGCCATGAGCCACAGTAGAATACGCGTGTCCAAGGTAAGGAAACCCAGGTGTCCTAGACGCTGCGGTGATAAAGCCTTAACCACGTGTCTGGCAACCCCCGTGAGCCTCACGGAATCGACATCGTCGCCTGATCATAGCAGCAAATGCATTCCTTTGGTTGGAAACATGCCAAAAGCGGCGTACATACGAAGGAATATCTGCCGCTCCCGGGGGAGGTGGGGGCTTGCTTGCTGGATAAGACACCGTCGATACGTCCTGCAGTGCCAGAAAAGCTTCGTTGAGCACATTCTACCCTTTTTAGCAGCCCCTGCCTCCCATTTTGATGTTTCTTTGCTGGCAAGAGGGTGGTGGAAATGATTAAAAGATAGAACATGCATTTCTTGCAGCTGCTGCCGTAAACCCAATCTTCACGCGTGGATGAGCCTGCACACGCAAGCTTAGCTATCAAGGACCCAATGAAACGGTTGACATGAAAAGTAACCATTCGTGGCGTATCCCGGAGGGGCATGGTTCTTCGTAATCATAGGATAAGAACCCAGGGGTGGCTGGCTTTCGAAGGCATTCTCAAGATGGCAAAGCTACGCCACTCTCGTGCTTCCACCACCCAATGAAAGCTCTAGTCCAATCGGTTCTTAAATTGCTTTGATACCCGTGCTGTCATGCCCCAGTGCCGGAAACCCGTTGTGGACATCCAACCTGATACGGCTCGCGTGTCTTTGCTTCCATACGGTGATGCCGGTCGGAGTAATTAATATGGTTCCTCGGGAGGCCAGACCAAGGTAGATGAGGTCACCGACCAGGCAATACGCTAGCAAGAAGCTGACTGACACCAGGATCGTCGCACCTCCTTGAAGTTTCCGGAAAGGACACAGGCGATGAACTCCCTGAAAGAGGTTCCCCGCACAAAGCTGTCTTGCCTGTCTCCTTTGCGAAGGCATGCTTGCGATCTTCCAAGGACCATGGGGACCACATGGTTGGAGTAATCGCACAGAGTTGCATTGACTGGGATGAGCTTCCTTTGCAACGGCGGGACGAGATAGGAAGTTGCGTAGTTTCAGATTGTCTTGGTCTCAAATAGAATCGGGCTCAAACACCCAAACAAGGACCTTTCACTTGCCATGCAGGCGCCACATCGGCACGAGAAGGCGTCCACAATTGAGTTCCCACGATGGCCGCCAGTAGGCGTCGGCCCATTGTTGACTCGGGTTCGAACATGTGAAACCTGAGCGTATTTATCTGCGGGTAGATACTAGGCCTTTCTCTTCGACTCAGCTGGCTATAACACGGCTCTTGACCAAAAGCGTGCTTGTTGTGGCTGACTTGCGGGTCTATTAAACAAGACGGGGCGAATCTTACTATGTCCAGAGTTTGGGCTCTATCGTTCATGTTGCCCGCTGTGCTGGTATTCCGGATTTCCCAAAAGGCAGAGTATTCAACAGTCGTACCAAAAGGCCTGAAGGCAGGCAAATCACCGATCCTGGCTGGTTGAGTACTGCTGTATGCACGGATATTGTGTTTACGATCTCGTAAGCTGATCGTTTCTTGGTCGACTTTGTGAACTCGTAAGCAGGAATCAAAACGTTGTTCGTTGTTCCTCAGGAGGACTGGATACGCCTCATCCTGAGCAATGCGTACGATTAAAGGTCGCTGTCCGGACTTTGGTGATAAGATCAATCAGACATTCCGATGCAGCGTTAATTCCTGCACAGGAACTTGCGTTGTACTGTTTTTCTTCTTTGCAGGTATTGCGCGCGTGGCCGTCCATATGGCATTTACATTGCATATACGCATTACAGACCCGGCGAAGAAAACGTGGTTGAGCTGACATGCCGCCGGTGGATGTCTGTCGGTCTGTGTTTCGCCGCGAACGAAGAATGTCTGTGAGCATCTTTTTGCGTCTAGGATCGCAGACCTCTCTCTCTTATGGCAACAAAAGTCTCAAGTTATGGAAAGTCGCCCCAATGCTACGTGCCGACCTGTCAGTATGTGCCGGCAAACGACACCAATTAGGATGAGGGATCATCAACATACAATTGAAAAAGCCAATACCGCCATGTCTAGAGCGCGAAGGACATGGGAATATAGGCAAGCTCTTGGGAGTGAAGACGGATTCCTTGCAGGATACAATTACCCGTCGGTCCAGTCCGCGGAGGCACATTGGGTTTCGGCTAGAGATGGAAAGCGAGTGCGAACAGATAATTCGGGGTGGCTCCTGGCTCGTGGGCATCCGATGATGGCGGCACGTATCATGCCAGTGCTGGCGGAAGATGGCTCGTTGCGGCGGCGAAAAGGAAAAGATGATTCCATGCATGACGGAAGTTGACAAATCCCGACACTGGCAGAGTGTGGCTTGGCCATTTGATGAACACTGTCTCGTTGCGAACGTGGTCGGGAGAGCGAGATAGATGAAATTCGGTTGCCCGAGACAATTGATGAGGTTAAGGTTAGTCGGGAGAAGATAACGTCGGAGTGTCTGCAGTGGTAAGCCTGGATGGCTGGGAACACAGCTTGACGAAGCACAAAGGGCAGTAAGAAGCATCGATAAGTATGATGCCTGCCTGGCCTGGGGCCTGGGGCTTGGGATCTCGAGTTGCTGCGGGAGCTTCAAGTGGACGTTCATTGTTGAAGTGGAAGCTCCGACCTTGGGGTTGCTGTCGTGCTTGTGTCTCTGTTTCACCGCGGCCACTGTATCTCTTGTCCGAGTCTTCCTTGTGCTCCAGTTGACGACATGGGCCCGGGACCCGTGAAGCTTGTCTGCTTTTAGGGCAGCACAACCGAAAGCACGACTGAATCCTCCGCCATTGGATCACGCCCGAAGACTGCATGAGCCCTCGGCTGCCCTCTTCAAGTCCCAGCTCCACTTGTCGCCGCAATCCCAACTTTCTGAAGTGACCGACTCGCACATCGGGGCAGGTCTCTCCTTCCTCGTGAGCCCGCAGCGAAGCAGTGTACTCTGGAGGTGAGTGTACCTAGTGAGACCGGCTGGGTTACACCTTCCATCATCATCATCATCACCACCACCACCACCACCACCACCAGACAGCGACTCGGAATGTGCGATCGATGTCGGTCAGGTGGCAGTGGCAGTGGCAGTGGCAGTGGCAGTGGCAGTGACATCTTCCAATCTCATTCCGCTGTGAAGCGACTGTTGCGACTTCCCAGAGCTTCAAGTTCGTTCCATGTTTCGACAGCCGCTCAGATGGGGCAGGCGGAGAGGGGGCAGACCGAGACCGCTCGGCCTTGTTCCCGCAGTTGCACTGGGTCTTCGACTCAACCGACGCAAGAGGAAAATTAAAGCGACTGTGTGTTCAGTTCAGTCTTGATGTCGGTTCTCACAGCGGTGGTGTGTTTGCGGAGAGATGATTTCCGAGAGGCACTTTGTTGTGAGGCTCCCCGGCTCACAGCTCGAGCCATGACTTTCCTCTTCAGTCTTCGGTGCTCTTGGCGGCTGGCGGTCCGTCGGCACATGCCCTGGCACTCTTAGCTCCGATTCAGCGCCGCAAATTGTCAACGGATCTCCTCTCATAAGAAGGAACATTGCAACATAAAACAGACCACTGCATCGTTACCAAGTGTACATACACATCCCGAACCTCAATCGTCCCAAACTTGACCAACAGTCCAAGTCTTAAGTTGTACGCGCTATAGTGCAATTGCCGGTGTATCTCCGTGGCGTGCTCTTCCGGAGGACTAAAGCGTCCAGACCTTCGATAAGCTAGCCCAGGTGTCGATATCTTGTGTCTTGGCTCAGGATCCCCTACATGATGTTTCGGACCCGTGACCTGACGCGCTCTTGGAAGGGGTGAGTCGCATCATGAGAACATCTCCAAGCTACGCGAGTAACTGAAGCGAGGTAGCCGCTGAAGTGGAATCGAACCAAGCTTCAGTTGTGTCTTCTGACAAAAACCAATGCCGCGCGAATATCAAAACGAACCCCGCACGGGCATCCGATTTGTAGGTTCCCTTGTTCATTGCAGCTGTTTGGCCGCTGCACAATTCAAGGACGTAGCACTTTCCTCACCCCAAGTCTCAAACACCACACGCGGCTGCAGGCGCGACGAGATCGGCTGCGACCCTTTTTTTAGCGTCTAACGAGTTGAGCATTACGACGACTGTTTCCCACCAGGCAAGGAACCTTTTCACCAACGACATCGACGACGCCATCCACGTCCGTCACGTCCCAAGCCGGTATGCGCCCGAGTCACGACATGAGTGCCCTCAACTTCCATATTAGCTCCGGCCGAAGCGCCTCCTATTAGCCGTTAGCCATGTGGTACCCGCATTCTTAAAACGTCCTCCCTCCCTTCGCGGTTAACCAGCTCACAGCTGCGGTCATGATACGGACCTTTCTGGCAACTATGGACCACCTGTTTCTATAAGAGCAGGGTTCTGATGGTATTGCCCGGCAACGTCAAACGCAATACGCGGCTCGAGAATGCCACATGGCATCGTATATACATACTTGCGCCCAACTCCACCATCGAAGGCATCCGATGAAGCAGACTAAGACCATGAATGATGCTCTAAAGGGATGGTTCATGGGTTCATGATAGGTTAACAACCCGGACAAGCCACTGCTTTAGGAAGCTCCAGATCCAGAGGTACCGATTTCTAATTCAACGGCCCGCGAAAATGCATCAAGTTGGCCCGTTGCGAGGTGGAGGGATACCGTATCCGGTATCTTTTCGGTCCAGGATGCTCATTTTGGCTCCAGCTTGTAAAAGATACAGTCACCACTCTCTTCGAACCCCCCTTCCCTGGAGTATTTGGAGTTATCCCATTTGCTGTGTCCTTACGGACCACACCCTGCATCTACCAAGCTTGGACCCCCAGTCGCGTGGGCCAGCTTGTCGGTAGGGGTACGTTCTTCGGGGACGCAACGGAAGTTTGGGCAGCTTCGTTTTGGGAAGCTCTCGGTCCTTACACTAGCTC